ATTCACGGTAGTATGAAAGGACCAATTTATTTTGCTTTTTTGCATTGTGTAAACTGTATAACTTAAATGGAGGCATAATTTTGTCATGTGACACATATTTAGTTGTAAAATATTGAGTTTATGAAAAATCATTCTTTTCCTTTTTTGTAAATGAGACAATATTGTTAATAAACGAGACATTGCAGTTAGTAATTGCTACTATTCAGTTCTAAATTTTTTAAGTTTTTATTGATTTTAAAAAGTATTATTGTCATTTCCCAAACCCTCCTCTTGGAATAAAGAAAGGGCAGTTAAATTAAAACAGATTGACCATGTATGACATTATATGCTTTATTCCATCCCTATAGTTTACTCCCTCTCTCTTTTGAAGGAGTTATATTTCACTATCAGCACCTTGCAGTCAAGATGGATCAGTTCGTTGATCTGAATTCTCATAACTTTTAGCATTGTTTTCCATTAACGTGACCATTGTATTGTTGTTGTTCAGTTGTTTTTCAGTCATGTCCAGCTGTTCATGACCCGTTTTGGGGTTTTCTTGGCAAATATGCTGGGGTGGTTTACTGTTTCTTTCTCTAGCTCATTTTACAGATGAGGAAACTGAATCAAACAGTTAAGTGACTTGCCCAGGGTTGGTTACACAGCTAGTATCTGAGGCTGAATTTGAAGTCATCTTCCTGACTCCAGGCCCAGCAATTCTATCCAGTGTGCCACCTAGCTACCTTCTCTCTGTATAGTGTTCTTTTGATTCTGCCTACTTCTGTCTTCATCAGTTTCTGTAAGTCTTCCTGCAAGTCTGAACTCTCCATATTTATGTTTCTTATGGAGTATTAATATTCACTCATATTCATTTACTACAGTTTGTTCAGATATTCCCAAGTCAGTAGGTATCCTCTTTGTTTTCATTTTTTTTCCAAACCCTCAAAATGCATTAAATATTTTGGTATACACACGCGCTCACACACACACACACACACACACACACACACACACACAACACACACACGGCTGGGGGGAGAACCTTTATCTGTGCTTTTTACTCTTTGGGCTATATATGTCCTGGTAGTCATATCACTGGGTCAGAAGATATGATCTGTTTAGTAAGTGATTTTTCAATGCTGTTTGCCTTTTTTAAAAAGTAAAATTGAGATTCCATTGGTCAGTATTCTACTTCTTTTAAAAACTTTTGGGCAGTTTGTATTATTTCTGGAAATGTGGTACTTAGACTTTTTAATTTATCTTTTAATTCTTTTTAATTCATCTCTTGGTTTTCCTCCTACCTAACTGATCATTCATTCTCAGTCTTCTTTGCTGAATCCTTCTCCAGATCATGCTGTCTAACCTTAAGTGCCCCTCAGGGTTCTGTCCTGAGTCTCTTCCCTTCCTCTTCCCTTCTCCTTCTATACTACTTTATTTGGTGATCTCATCAGCTCCCATGGATTTAATTACCAAATCTGTACTGGTGCTCTCCTGCCCCAGTCTCTGCTGACCTCTAGTCTTGCATTTCCAACTGCCTTTCAGACATCTCAAACTGAATGTCCCGCAGACATCTTGAGCTCAGAATGTCCAAAATAAAACTTGTTATCTTTTCCTTAAAACCTTCCCCACCTCCTAACCTCCCTATTACTGTAGAGGACAACACCATCTTCCTAGTCCCTCAGGTTTACCACCTGGAAGTCATCCTATATTCTCACTATTTCTCACCTCTCTAATCCAAGCTGTTGCCAAGGCCTGCTGATACCGCCCTTGCAACATCTTTTGAGTATGTCTCGTGTCCTCTTCTCTGACACTGCTACTACTCTGGTGCAGGCACTTATCTCCTCACGCCTGTCTTCTATAGATCCTGTGGGTCTGCCAGCCTCAGGTCTCTTCCCACTCAAGTCCATTCTTCATTCAGTCACTAAAAAGATTTTCCTAAAATGTAAGTCTGATCCTATATGTGCGTGTATGTACTTCCCGTCCCCATCATACACACACTCACTCACTGAAGTCTGTTGGTTTCCTGTTGCTTCCAGGAACAAATACAAAACTCTCTGGCATTCAAAGCCCTTCATAACCTAACCCCCTCCTACCTTTCCACTCTTCTTATACTTAACTCCTGGATATGTATTCTTGGATCCAGTGACACTGGCTTTCTGGTTATTCCACAAACAAGACATTTCAGCTCTCAGCTCCAGGTATTTTCTCTGTCTCCCGTGCATGAAATGCTGTCCCTCCTACACTCTGATTAATGACCTCTCTGGCTTCTTTTTAAGTTTCAGCTAAAATTACACTTTCTACAGGAAGGTCCCTCTTAATTCCATTGGTTCTCTCTTTTAATTATTTTCTATTTCTCCTATATATTGTTTTATATAGTTTTGTTTGCTTGTTGTCTCCCATAATAGATTATACATTCCTTGAGGGCAGGGACTATCTTTTGCTTCTTTTTGTATCCCCAACACTTAGCATAGTGCCTAGCACGTGATAGTGCATAATAAGTCTTCATTGAATTGAATTGAATTGAATTTTTAAAAAATTTCTTTGAGAGTTCTGCTATCTGACCAGATTTCAAACTTAGTATCTTTATTTTTTTTAAATATTCTGAAGTTTCTTGCTTTTGTTTGATAATCTCTGGGGAATTGTCATGTTGTTGCTTTTAAAAAAAATTCTTGCTGATTTTTCCTTATATCTTCGTCAGTCTCTTTGTTGGTTTATCTTTTTGAGAACTGAGTTTATACTCAGTCATTTTTCTATTAGCTTTTTTGTGTTCACGTAATTCTTGCCTTTTACTTTAGGTAGTTCATTTGGGGTTTCTTCACTGTTTGACCTTCTCCCCTTTTACTGCTATAATTTATGTGTTTTCTTCTGACCAGATATTCCTGAGGCCAAGCAGTTTAGTAAACCATACCAGAAGAGGATTAACCACTGCTATCTATGTGCCTAGTCTCTTTGCCCCAGGGCATAGAGGCCCCCTTCCTTGTCTTCCCTCACAGTTATACCCACCTTTCTGGCAAATGATTGGGTGGGATGAATTTTTTTTTTTTGATGGGGGTGAGGATGCTGGAAACAGATGCATCATCATCATCTTATTGCCCTTCATGCACTCTTAAACTTAATAGGTTATCATTCTGTCATTACATTTGTCAGTATTGCTAACGTTCTGCCATAAGTTTGAAGTTGGGATGGAAAGTAAGGAGAGAAGAATTACTAGAACTCTCCTTCCTCTCCATATTACTAATTCTGTGATAAATTATTTTTAACAGAGGTCATTTGTTACCATAGGTTATGGAAAATAACTAAGGCACCGCCCCCTGAAGTGATTCTTCTCGAATTGCTTATATTATTATTCTTTATTTTGGATCTTGCTGTCCTTTGAGTTCACTTCTTCTGCATCTCTTTAAACCTGAATTTGTACTATTCAGGTGTGACTGTACTCTATACTTCCTTCAAATAGATGAATATTTTTAAACTGTTAAATTGAGAAGTGTGAAAGTGCATAATCAAGTTACTTTTTACTCTTGTCAGAGGACTGACTATAAAGTAATGATATTGGTTTTCATGTTGCTCCTGGAAATTAATTCTATTACTTTATAGATTTACTTATCACTCTCAGCAAGGGGTTCATTTTGTAGACTTCTTCCCTGAAACTGGGAGTACTTTACCTTGATTCTGAGGTTGAAAGTCTAGAAGCACTATCACATTGCATAAGGCATCCATTGCAATTAAGACCTGATGTGGGAGATGCTGGTGACTTTTCTATCAGCTTAACTGATTATCCTGAATGTTGACATCATAGAGTTCTGAACTGTACTTTGTCATATGATCCCATCATTCATTGTTCTATAAAATTAATTATTTTCTAGGGTCCATATATTTAAGTAGGTAAGAATAAAGATAATGCTATTTGAAACAGATCATTTATAAACAAGGCCTTTGGTTTTGATGCCCTTATTCGAGGCTGATGATGATGATAATAATAATTTACTCAGTGCCATTAATAATGATGATGATGACAACAACAGTGATAGTAACATATTTGAATGTTACTATGTACTTTTCTATCACTTTCTACAACCTTATCTAATGAGAGGCAATATTGACTGATGTATAGAGTATTGGACTTAGAATCAAGAAAACTCCAAGGCCTCAAATCCTATATTAGACACTGAGTAGCTGTGTAACCATGGGTGAGTCATTTAAGCTATTTCAGCATCAATTTTGTTATCTGTAAAATGATATATGATGATAATGGCATCTACCTCCCAGAATTGCTGTGAGATCAAATATGATAATGCATTTAAAGTACTTTCCAACCTTAAAATATGTTATAAATGTTAGATTCTATTATTATTATTATGTGCCTCTAACCACATTTCTTTTTTGATACAGCTGAGATAGAATTGGTCCTAGGATGAGATATTGTTGTGCTATTTTAATTATTCAGTGTAATTTGAACTATTACATAGATGGATAAATTAACTGCTTTATATAGGGAAATAAACATATTACAATGCAAGCTCATATTACAGGCTCATTGAAAACAATATTCATAACAAGCATGGTAGCAGGATGATGGGGATGTACCTCATCCTTTTTCTATATGATTTTGTTATTTTCCCACTGATAACTCCATTTTGAAAGATTTTCATTTTTTGCAGCTTGGAAATTATGAGTATTTCCTTTGGTGACATCTCTTAAAAATATTGTTCTTAAATGTTTATGGATTAGTGTTGTTATTATCATTACTGTTATTTCATTCTCATTGTTATGATTTTAATTATTATTTTTTTTCCTATTGAAATTAGGTGATACTAAGTAAAGTGGTCTTGAAAACTTATACAAGACTGATTAATTATTTGTCCATAGCCTTTCTGTGTTTAGTGTTGTGCCATGCTCTATTTTCTCATTTAGCTTTTATGAGAGAAAATGAACATGATGGCATAACCTATATGTCATATGTTAGGAATCCTCTTGACCATAAGCCCTCTAATGCTTTTTTGGGGGGTCTGGTGTGTTTTTGGCAGGTCATGACTGCTGTGAGACAGTGAAGGTTCTGCTCTGTGCTTCCAAAGAGGGACTCCCTGTTTTTGTGGTGGCTGAGGAAGATTTTCGCTTCATTCAGGATGAAGTATATGATGCTGCCCAGTTCCTGGCAACCAGTGCTGGCAACCAACAGGCTCTGAACTTCACCAGGTTTCTGGATCGATCAGGACCACCCTCTGGAGATGTGAACACTCTAGATGAGAAGGTGGCGCTGGCATTCCGACACCTCAAACTGCCAGAAGAATGGAACGTGCTGGGAACAGACCCAACTTTGAACGGTGAGGACATTAATAATAGGAGAAAGGAGGGCGTGTGAATATGTCTGGAAGTCTACCTCAAAACTTGCCTTTTATGGTTGTGCTGCTTTTAAATTTGGGATAATTTGTCTAATACCTGCCTGTCTAAGGTGTTACCTTAATATCTTGGTTAATTTTTTTTATTAACATTAACAATCAGCTAAACTTGCTTAATAGTTGTTAGCATTTAAATTAATTCATTTCAATGCATAATAATTTTCTAGTTATTCTCTTAAGTCTTCAAGTTTTTTATTTTTCCATTTTTATCCACTTTTCCTCCAAGAGTGAACATTGTTAGCTTGTACTTCATTCTTCTGGTTTGGCTTTTAAATTTAAAAAAAAATTTTGTCTTTGCATTTTTTATGGTTGCTTTTTTCAAATTTATTTGTATGCTACGTATGTATTGGTCTTTATTGCAAGAAAGTATTTCATTACATTGCTTAGCGTAGTTTATTTAACCATTCCCTTCTTGTTAGGCATTTGGAATGTATGAGAGAGAAATGTTTAATCAGCCTGGAAGAATAGGCTGGGGCGAGATTGTGAAGAGCTTTAAATGCAAAATGGAAGGGTTTAGATTTTTATCATAGAGACATTAGGGAGCATCTCTTGGTTTAGAAAGTGCTTTCCCCACAGCAGCCCTGAAAGATATGTAGTATAAATGTTATCACCCCCATTTTAGAGATGAGGAAACTGAGACTGAGATATTAAGTAATTTATCTAGGACCAGATTTCAATCTGAGGACTTTCATTCATAGATGTATGGATGGATGGATGGATGGATAGGTAGACTGATACAGACAGGCTGAGCTTAAGATTCCTACTAGGAATGTAGAGGTAAAAGATTTTTGAATAACAAATAACCATTAGATACTGACCTGAAGCTCCGCAAGAAGGTCAGGGCTGAAGATAAGGAGATTTTAGCATCATCTACATAGAGGAGATACTTGAAGGCATGAAAGATAAAATTTACAAGAGACTTAATGTAAAGTGGCAAAAGCAAAGGACCAAGCTTTGTGTATCCCTTCTTAATAGTGGGAGGCTAAAGTAGAGTTATCAAGGGAGACAGAAGGACCTGGCAGATAGGTAGGAGAGAAGATAGTGTCATAAAAGGAAAAGAAAAGGAGGTTTCCAGAAGAAGGAGGTAGTTTGAGATTCTACAAAAAAATTCAAGTAGGATGAGGATTAAAAAACGCTGTTAGATTGGACATTAGCATTTAAAAGAAGGTCATTAGTAACTTTTTTCATGAGGGATCAACAAATAATTTACCTGTTAAAATTATTAATCATCGTTTAGTTTGTAAATGTCTCTGTATTGGAATAAAATTTGCATTATTAATGAATTTACATATTTGTATATATTCAGGGTTTCTGCATGTTGCAGTGACTGTAGAGTAATTGCTCAATAGAGCTGCAGTCCAGTAGAGTGGATACAGCCCTGGACTAGAAGGCAAGTATCTTAGGCTAGTCTTGGCTCTGCTGCTAACTGGATGTGGTTCCTAAGTAGATCATTTCACCCCACTGGGGTTGAATAAAGAGGTTGAACTAGATGAGATGAGCTCTAAAATTCTTTCATAGTGGGTATATCATCATATTTCTATTTATTATAAAGAAGGAGAAGAAAGCTGGGCATGATGTACCATACATGTACCCTACATTTTCAGAATTCAAACTCTGTCTAAAGAGATGAATGTGGATGCACAGGGAACTCATTGCCTAAGTTTGATTTCAAAGGACATACTGTAATAGAGGGTGGAAACAAAGGCACATACTGGAAAGAGGAAAAGGGAAAAAAAAAGTTGGATAGCCTTGCAAGAACACTAGTGTTCAGAATATATTGAGGCTGCCCATGAATGTCAAGGACCACAAAATGTACATTTTTAAAAAAAATCTACATTAGGGATAAAAGCAGGATCAAAGAAGCACTAGGTATGAATGAGATGATGAAAACATAGCAAAAAGTAAAACTACTCAGTTCTTTGGTTACTTCTTTTCTCTCTGGCAAGTAGAATGATTTTTGCAGTGAGAAAGAAATAACAATAATTAATAAGAACTTGAAGCTCAAGATAAAAGAGAAAATGTTAAAAGAACACTGAACTGTGTTAAATGAGTTGAAGCCATCAGGTCACAAAGAACTACATCCCAGGTTACTGAAAAAGCTAAGGTGAATGCTGAGCCACTGTCAGTGATCCTGAAAAGGGTATGGATAAAGAGAGAGGTATCACAGGACTGGAAAAAGTCAAATGTCTCAAATCCTCTTCTCTCCCCAAAAGGGGAATACATTCTGCAAATTTAGAAGCTTGTTATAGATTCCTGGCTCAGTTCTATAATGCATTAATAAAATGATGACTTAACAAGTATGTTAAAACAAAGTGATGATCTTGGTGTAGCCATGTTGGCCCTTACTGACATCTTAGCAATTATGCTAACCTAATAACCTTTTTTCATTTTTTAACAGGATTACTAAATTGACTATTCAGGGAAATGGCTGCAGACACAGATTGCAGATTTTAGCAAACTATTTGAAGAATGAATACACATAGACTCTTAATGAATAAGAGGGAGAAATGTGGGCTAGATAGATGATGGTGTAGTTGGTTATATTTGTGACAAGTTAATTGACTGGATTCAGCATAATTACGGGGTTAATGTTGAGTAGTAGAGTGGCCCACCGATTTTTACTTGGCCCTAAGTGGTTTTGTGTTTTTAGCACAGATTTATATAAGGGTATAGGTGGATGCTTGTTAGATTTGTTAGATGACATGAAACTAGGATGGACAGCCAGCATGGTGGATGACATAATCAAGATCTATCTCTACCTTCACAATGATGCGTTGGATTTTCTCTTACAGGATGTCTTCAAGCAAAGGCTAGATGACTACTTATTAGAATTGTTGTAGAGGGGATCCTTGTTCAGGTATGGGTGAGACTCTAGATGGTGTTACAAGTCTCTCACTTGGAGAGATTCTTCTTTTTCTCAGTGCTGTTGTGCATAAAATCTATTTTTATATGCACTCCAGGCCCAGCACTCTCTATCCACTGTACCACCTTGCTACCTCTAGAGATGATCTTCAAGGTCTGGTTGAGCTTTAAATTCTTTGGATCTTGTGTTCTGCTGTTAAGTAGCTTTGTAATCTTAGTCACTGAATGTGGCCTGTTTTCCTCCTCTATAAAAGGAGATGGTTCTAGATCAGCCTTTATTATAGCTGTTAAATTTTCTTATTCTACTATTTTAGTTATTAGATTTTTTAAGGTTTTTGACCCAGCTGTCTGAGTTATATGTAAGGAGAGAAAACCAGCTGATTTAGAAGTGTCTTTTGGAATGGAGTGTCTCAGAAGACTTAGGAATTGTCTCCTTTATGAAGTTACAGGGTTTTTGTTTTAGAATTACTTCAGTTTAGACAATTTGAAAGCAAAATGAAAAACCTTGAGACCCTCAAAAAGGTAGTTATATACATTTAAAAAAAACGTATTTCCCTGAGGCAACCCCTATTTTATTTTTGAAATTTTGTAATTTTAAAATGCTTCCAATTCAGCAGTGAAATTGGAGCCAACCCAAATGTGATTCATTCTATATTGGGGAAATTAGGAGTACAGTTAGTTCATGTTTAGACCTGGTAAATTCTCCAAGATGCAGATAAAATGGATTTATTCCACTTTTTGTCCTTATTGTCTTTCATTCTTTTCCTCCCTCATTATACCGATGGAACTCATTTAATTTGAGATGATTGTTTCTTTTCCCCATCCTTACTTTTTCCTCTCTCTCTCACTCCCTTCATCTCATACTTTCTAATTTTTTTTCTTCTTTTTCAGATGAAGAGTGTGTCAGTCTGATTTTAGGACCTCATGAATATTAATCTTCAAAGTGTTCTTTGTCCTATTTTTGCTTCTTTACTCATTTAGTTTTGCTTGAGACCAGAACTTTCTTTGTTGAGCTTTCCTTTATCTACAAGCCAAAAGGTCCTCTTTATATTTCAGTCCCTAATCCACTTAAGAGTATTTACTACCTGCCTCTAAGGATGACTTTTTTATTCTTGGAATATAAGGTCTTAAGCTTTTAAAAGGCTAGCAGGTACTCTAGTATAAGGCTGTTTGATATAGAATTTTGAACTTGAAATACCTTTTTGGAACAACTAATCCACTACCTGATTTTTGGTTCTAGACTAGAACTTTACATAGCTGATTTATTGTCACCCTAGGAAGGCACCTGTTTCTGATTAAGAAAATACATTAATTTTTCTAAGGAACTGTTGAAGATATTCAAATACCTTTATATATGGTTATAAGTTTGATGAAACAGATGATTTCATATAGAATTTGACTTAAAAATATACACTTTTGGTAAGGGTAAGAAGTGAAATTCCTTTCTAACTTCCATTATGCAGAATCACTTTATTTAAAAAGGCGTGTATTATGCACCTACTATATATAAAGCTCAGTGGTAGGAGCTGAAGAAATTAGATCAATTAGACACTATCAATCTTTTTAGTTACTTATAAAAGAGAAATAAATAGAATAGTCCTGTTTTTAAAATCTTTTGCTAACACTTCACCACCCAGCATTGGTGGCCAATGGTTTTCAGGTTATCTAGGTTCCTAAAAACCTTGAGACAGTTTTAGCATGTGTGTTGGTATGTGTACTTGAATTCTTGCATGAATTCATGTACTCCATCCTTGTAGAGGTCCACTTAATGTATCTTTTATACAGGAACCATACACAGCTCTTAACATTCATTTGTGCTTAATTGATGTCAAATGTGACTACAAAAATGCATATATGTATTATTAAATTATGTATTTGCATAAGGCAATCTATTATCACTTATATCAGTCATCTGAAATTTATCTCTAGCCTTGGGGTATGTAAATTTCCCGCCATTCTTCCATCAGCTTGAAAAGAAATATATGTTGTAATTCATAACCTTGTTTCCCATTGTACCACAGAGAAATTTCTATTACTTTCTATAAAAATAATGGTGCTTATAG